AACCTAAAGGTTTTGGAACCTAAACCAAGCCTAAACTACCACTTGAGCTATTACCATTTGAGTTGTCGGAAACAAAAAAATCCGTAAATCTTAATGGCCGAATATTCATTTCCTATTGAACAATAACAGTAATCATTATTATTATTATTTAAAAAAAATCTTTAAAGCAATTAAACAATAAATACCTTCGGATCGATATCCTTCAAATCGCCCTCTGGAGTAGCATGATCCCGCATATATTCTCTGATCGGAATCATAGCAGCATTCCGGCATGCTTCTTTCAAATCACTTCCTTTTGAAAACGTAAAATTGATATTAATACTTAAAAGGGAAAAGAGACAAATAGATGACAATAGTGTACCAGAAAAGTTAGCCGTTTGAGACACTAATTTATCATAATCAAAATTATCCTCCAAGTTCTGATCGTGTAACATCTAAATAATTACATTTATATCATAATCAAGTTCAAGCATTTATATTGTTTAAGTTTTCAATTCATATTTGATTAATTTAAAAAAGACTTACAATTTCAAGAATGTTTCTTCTTTGTTCATCATTAGGTAACCGAATCGCAAAACGTTTGGGCATGCGACGGAGAATTGCATAATCTGGATTGTTTTAAAATCTTTAAAAAAAATAAATAAAAATATAATTCGATTATGAGATATGAATATATACCAATATCATTGGGTCTATTAGTGGCACCAAGAACCTAATAAATGTTACAAGTTAGCTATTGGTGAAAATAAAGAGTACTACCTAAATGATAATAATAAACTACTCACGACTATGCGTGAGTTTTCACTTGTCGTAAGGCCATCCCATAAACTATCAAAATCAAATGAATATTATGATAAAAATGATTAAAACATTTATATATTAATAAAAATTATAGCATTTACCTCATAAATTCAGCCTTCATCATTCCAGTAACCTCATGATCGTTACTTCGCCTTTCTCTCAAAAAAGCATCGATTTCATCAATGAAAATAATGCATGGCTGAAGCTTTTTAGCGACAGAGAAAACTGCAGCAACTAATTTATTTGATTCTCCAAACCATTTATCTGTCAACGTCGAAACATGAAGATTTATAAAAGTAGCACCGGATTCCCGGGCTAGGGCTTTGGCAAGCATAGTTTTACCACATCCTTTTTATCAAAATATAATGATGTGAAAAATACAAGAATTTATTTAATTTAAAAAGCTACTAATCAATTAATCAATAAGTACCTGGTGGACCATGAAGCAATACTCCTTTGGGGACGCCCAACAGTCCTGACGTTGAAGTAAACAATTGTGGATAACATAATGGATATATAACAGACTCGCGGAGAGATTGAATGATTGAATCAAGACCTTTAAGTGAAATTGTAATCAGTTATTCAGTTATTTCATTGTAAAAAATCTTTTTGATAAAGGACATTACCGCCAATTTCTAATATTAATAATGAAAAAATAGATTAGATGGGGTTTTTTTTCCATGTAGTCGAACTTATTAATGATGTAATAACACATACGCTTGAAATCAACGGCTATTTCATCAGAAAAGATTACTTCTGACAAGATCACCTCTTCATATTCGTTTAATTTTAAATTTCGCTGCTTATTTTAAACAATGAAGTTTGATTAACCTTTCAAAACACAGGAAAACTCTTAAAGATACATACCCCAAGTTTTCCCAATACTTCCTCACTTTTAGCTTTAGCTTCTTTCTTCTTCTCTTTGAGAGGATCAAGTGAATTGAGGATAAACTTTACGGCAAAGTAAAGCGCTACTTGGGATAATGCAAATATGACCACTATAGATCATAGTTGTGAAAGTATACTTTGGTTAGTAAAGGAGTATGAGCCCCAAAATAATATAATCAATAGGTGAAAAGCATGATAGTGAATAAGCATTTTTACCGTCTGCCACATATTTTCTTGTGTTTGGCGGTGCCATCTAATATAATACGTTTCGTGTTGTGTTATAAATTTGGAATATTTAAATATTGATTATAAAATAACTTTTTTAATGATTGGTTGATCACGAAGATCATGCGAAATTCAATCATCATCAACATCCCGTGACTTTTACCAATAAGATTTAAATCGGTGTAAAGTAAAGTAACATACAGTTTACCCCAGTGATTATTTTCCACGTGTATGCACGTGTGCGGACCCAATCAAATTACTTG